TCAAGAAAATATTTCTATGATTACATGGTTTAAGCATTGATAATCTTTTCTGTGTAATGTTCTGCTTAAAAGTCTCTTGAGATGCAGTTGCATAAACAGCTTCTGGTTTATCTTTCATTTCCCAAACTAAAACCCAAGCAAATAACCCCACAGCATTCAGGGTCATAACATGTACTGCTAAAACTTCCACAATAGGATACACAACATTTTTTTAATTAAAAAACACTTGAAAACACTGGCTGAAATTAAATTTGTAGTTGTGGTACCAGATTTAATAGTCTGAGCATTTAATTCACACAAAGGAGTTACTGAAAAAGAGTACTGATGTAGTGATGAGAACTTCAGCTCTGGGATTCCCTGTCTATCCCTTAAGTCACTGCCATGGAGTTTCTTGCACCCTTTGTTCTCTAGTTTCTTGCAATAACTTCAATTTTTTATTTTTTTTCACAAAAGTGTACCTTCTACAGGATGGTGAGAAAGGGCTGCTGCTTGCTATTTGCACAAATCCAGTGGTTTGGGGTGAAACTGGGTATTTTTGGAATATCATAAGGTATTTGCCACTATTACACCCACATTACATATTCTATGAGTCCATAATGCTCCAGGAAACTTTAGCTCTAAGGACTCATCCTTCCCTCTCACCATACAATTGTGGAAGGCTACGCTGTCTTCGCAGAATTTTGGTTTTCATGGATCTTTTGAATTCATGAAGATTTGTATTTTATATCACAAATTTTATGTTTTTTCACTAACTCTGCAAGGTAATGACTGACAGTAAATGACAGACAATAAACAGGTAGACTGTGATCTAGGAAATTCTGGGATTTTTTTCCAAATCTATCCTATGTATTTTATAATCTTGGATAAGATGCTAAATAACCATGGTAAAAATAGACCATGTCAACATGGATAGGAAGAAAGTAATAATTCTGTTGATCATAATAGTAGTGATATTAAAATATTCTAAAGTGAGAGAATTATTCCACATTATAGTAAAATACCAAAGGAATAACCAAACTCACAAGAGAGCATGCAGGTTCATCAGCTGCTAGAAACATGAGCAATACAACTACAGAAAGACACTTCTGACAGCTGGCTTACTTGCAATATGCTGGAATTGTTCAGAGCTCTGTCTGATTTGCATGGTAAACAAATCTAAAGGAATGAAAAAGATATGTGGAAACGAAATTCTGCATAGGAAGAGCTCATATCTGTCATCACTTGACTATACTGTGGCACTTTGAGTTCATATATCTTAGTTGTGCTTGTAATGTCTGGTGTTTTATTTCATCAGTGTTAATACTTGAGGATCCAGGCACTGTAAACTGTTTACTAAAATGTAATCTATTTCCTTGGCTTTACCTTTTTCTCCATGGATAATTCTGCACTAAATTATCAATTTTGCAATTGCTTCAGAACTGAACAGCTAGTGCTTGATGCATGCAATGACAGATTGCCAGTATTCAGGTAGCATCGTCTACGTATGTTATTCTAAAGGATGGATAGATGGAAGAAGCGAAGCTCAGCACATCTTCTATGCTATGATGCTCCCTTGTCATGGGAAATCCTGACAACCTAATTGAAGATCCTTAGATCATTAGATGATCGTTCTTTACTTACACCAGCCTTCCACTTTCTCAGTCGGTGTTTTGGTTTTCTGTATGAGGCTGTGCTGCTGAGATACACAGCTTTGCTCTGTCACTCTTTCAGGGTTGTCTGCGCATGTCTGCTAAGAGTACCAAGTCCTGATTTTTTTGCAACATCTCTCCTTGCTCTGCAAGTGCAGTCTGGCAGTCTAGTCTCCCTCTCTTGTGCCATAGGAAGGTATTTATGAAATGCCTAAAACATTTTAAAAAATCAAGATTTAAAATATCCTGTCATCCTACTGGTTAATTGTGCTCATTCTTATTTAACTCCCATCAAATCATAGCTTATTGCATTACAGATATAAGCCAGCACCAAAAACCAGAAGGCCTGTGAAGAGGCCTTAGAATGCTAATCATGATAGCCATGAGAATTTTGTTACTGATTTCATTACTTCCAGAACAGGCTTCTCATTATGTGCTTCACATTTGAAGGTTGATACCCAAATGTATGAATTAAATAACAACACCTTTAAATATTTGCTCATGTGTGCCCATCTTGGTCCTTTCTGCTTTGAAAGGAAAGTTTTGCCCTTCATGCTCTGGATGGTGAATTATCTGTTATGATTTCATTAAGCTATTTCTATTCACCAACCTACATGATAATGTAAAATGTCATGCACATTAATATGATGACAGTCTGAAGAAAATAGCTTCTTTTACAGGAAACTGGTTCCTTAGATGCTTATTAGAGGAAAATGGTACGTAAGAGTACTGTAATACTGTTAGGCTAAAGAATCTAATCTAAAGAATCACAGTTATCAATCTAAAGGAATTAGATACTAATGCAACTGCCTGCCCAGCATCAAAGGCAACACCAAGTTTCCCAAGTACAGAGGACCTGATCAGAGAATGAATAAAATAGCTGATGTAGACCTCAGGTTTAGTTCATCCATCCTTCTGTCTCCAACAGGCCTGATAAAAAAAAAAAAAAAAAGGTCTTGCAATAAGAAAGTAATCTATTCAAGTGTTTCATTATGTTTTCTAATTAAAATATTTCTTTATGTCTAATCTAACAATCCAGATGTTGCATTATAAGTTTATTAGTTCTGCTCCCACACATGATGAACTTAGAAAACCAATGTTTGTCTTGCATTTCACAGCAATCTTTCATCATTTTGAAGACTCTCTCAAACTCTGAAGACTAAATGATAAACCCAAGTCCTTCCAACATTTCTCATGGATTTTTTTTTTGTTCTTATCTATTTTTGTTGTGTCTTGCTAAATATTCCAGTTGTCCTCTCTTTTTTTTTTTTTTTTTTTTGTATCTGGCACCTAAAATTACGCCCTACATGAATGTAGAAAGAATATTGTTTGCTGTGTTTACATCTTGTACTGCTGTTTACAAAGTGCATTTTCCTTGTTCAGCATATTGTTTCCTCATGCTCAACTACAATCCACTGTAATATCCAAAATTTTCTTTTAACATAATCCAGCGTGTATATGGGTAATTATTGCACCAGACACTCTGCTCATCATTATCAAATTCAGATCACTGTGCTCTAATACTATTCTCCAAAGTTTCATCAGTCTTTACAACCATCTCCAGACTTAATATTCTCTATTTCAACATTTCATCATGTATATCCTACATATATCTACATATAAATGCGTGGATATTTATAAATATATGTATGCAAATATAGATGAATAAATATTCCTTGAGGCATGTCACAGTTGAATACTTGGGACATTGAAAATTTCATAGCCTGTATAGGTTACATGATAATGAGGTGGTCTTCACAAAGACAAAGGAGCCCAAGAGAACAATGGAAGCTGTGGGAACCCAAATTAGACCACGATTTAACTCCTTTGTGTCTGTTTCAGGAGTCATCAAACTGTGAAAGTCCCATCTTACAGCAACGAAGGAAGCACTGAAGCCCCTGGACCCACCCCATTGGGTACAGCTAACACCAGGGAACAGAGGGGAGGCTGGCTGGGTCGCCTGGCAGACCTGCCTACGGGTACAGGTTTTGCTGTGGGGTGCAGGGCAGAGCACTTCAGTAATGCACAACACTTCTGAGGTGTTTAGGAGATCAAAGTCAGTGAAATGGGAATGGTTCAGGGAATATCAAGTATGGAAAAATATTGACATAAGAACACAATTTTTAACCCAGTGAAGAGACCACTTGTCTGAGCTGTGGGCTGCCAGCTTGCCCATGAGAATGCTGTAGGAGACAGTGTCAAAGATTTTACTGAAGTTCATGTAAATATCCACAATTTTTCTGTCACAATTTTTTCATCCACCAGGAAGGTCACCTTGTCATAAAATGAGATCAGGTTGGTCGAACAGGACCTGCTGTTCCTAAATCCATGCTGGCTCAGCCTGACCCCCTGGTTGGCCATGTGATCACATTCCAGGTAATCTGTTCCATAATATTCCCCAGCACGAGGGCAAGCTCACAGGCATGTATTTCCCTGGATTCTCCTTCTGTCCCTGAATAATTCTGAATTTACTGCAATAATACCCAAACAAACTGCATTAGTTTAACTAAGAGAATTCAGAGACCTGTAGAACACCTTTTTGGAACAAAGAAAGATCGTGACACATAAAGTATTCAGAGAGTCTACAAGAGCTGGAGCATTTAAGAAGTTAGATAGTAATAGATAATTTTTACAGTGATTGAAGCTATCATCTAACTCACAAGGTAGATGTGCGTGTTCGAAGAACTGTAGACTGACATTAATCTTGCCTGAAGTTCTGATAATCTGCCTGAAGTTCTGCATGTTTTTAGCTGAAAACATTTAAAGATCTTTTGTGTGGTTTGTTAAATTTTTCTAGTACTAGCCTATGTGAAGTAAAATTCAATAAATATGAACAAAGGCTGGGTCATATTGATTTGTCATTGAAAATGTGTAATTTTCCAAGTTCTTTTCAATGTGTGCAGCTTTAGTGCCTATTCACAGAGTATATTTATAATATTAACTATATACTAGAATATTAATCACATATTTTATCTAATTACATAGTTTCAAAGAAATGTGGCAATCAGTACTAACGAAGATTTACTCTACTAGAAAAAAATAATTAAACACTGCCTTCAGATAATGTAATATCATTTGCACAATTTGACTGAATGCCTAATTCAGAAAGATAAACAGGGAATATTTATATAAACAAACTATTTTTATCCTGAAAAAGAAAATAGAAATAAGTAATATGCACTCACACTAAAAATAGAAATAAGCTGCATTAAAAGTTTTCACTGACAGAAGTACTGATTCCTCATTACTAGTACTGATAGGACAATCCAAAGTATATATGTTTTGGGTGGTTTTTTCTTTTTTCACATGCAATCAATATTAATAATTTCCATGCATTTACAAAAGAAACAAGGTGGATATAAAAGATCAGAATAGTTTATCGAAGTTTTTAATAGTTTCTTGTCCAGAGAAGCACAGGTACAGACATAAGCCAAGCATGTTACTGCTTCCAGAAAAAAAAATGAACATTCAGTTTTTACAACCAATTATTTCAAACTGAATTAATATACAATGCCCTAATGTTGGAAATTTTTAAAACCCACCAAACAATAGAACAAGCAAACAAATGAAACACAAAGAATTTCTGGCGGCATTGTAACATTTAGACGTCACATGTATTTGTTGACACTGATGTCAGAGCACATGGCAAAGCTCTTACAGGTGATGGTAAGACCACTGGAACTCTTTCTGGTTGAATTTCACGTCAGTGGTTTCCTGCCTGAAGGCTCAGGTCACTCCTGCTCCCTGTGGAGCGGCTTGCGCTCCGGAGGAAGCATCGGCTGCAGCTTCTGCCAGCGCTGTGGGGGCCAGAGAATATGAGTGGCTCGGCCATGGAGGAGACCAAGAGAAACCTGCAACCAAAATATAAACCAGAGGTGGTGTTAGGTAATGCAAATAAATCACTATGTGAAAAATACAAAGCATCTGATGATTGTTAGAGCAGTGGGAGCTACAAAGCAGAAGAGTGAGTAGTCTCTCATGCATGTAATGAGGGGAGAAGAAAATGTCTTTACTAACAATTAACAATTTCTTTTTCTTTTTTTGATAAAACATTTTTGGAACTCAAAACAGCTTGCTGAAATGCACTGTCTGTAATACAGAAGTAGGAATGTTTTTTTTCATTTTCAAGAAAAAAAAGCTCCTCAAAATAGGTGAGGCATTCTATAATCCACATAAAGCTTTTTTGTTATTCATTATTCTAGGTCCTGAGAAAAAATTTTAAGTATCTATTTTAAATAATTTCAACAGAATCTGTGTCGTGGTTTTGATCCCTGTGTACTAACCACACCAGAATAGTGGGTTTTCTAAACATGTTGTGTTTACTATTTATCTCTCTCCTTCAAAACTCCATTTTGTCTTCAACGAAAAATGAAAATTACTGTGAATTGTAGAAATCTCTATGTATTTCTCTACAGATCAAAAACTTTTGAAGTGCTAGAACTACTTAAACCTGATTAATATGTTTCGCAAACATGTTTTAGCATCTTATTATTTATTAATGTTTACTTCACTCATATTTTACTTCAATAAATTAAAATAAAATTTAATTCTGATATTGCTTATAAATGAATCAGACATAACATAGTATAGAAAACACAATTGCTTAGAAAATCTTAAGTAAATTATAAACTAGATCCTTTTCATATATGGTATAAAAATAGCTAGACTAAGTAAGAATAGAACAGTCACAATTTCAGACTGAGATAAGACAGTCCATACTTAACACTGAAATTAAGTCATTTTGTATGGAGTTAATCTCAGTTAATTTGAAAAGCCTGCAGCATAAACTTCTGCATTTTAAATTATTTGTTTAGACTTGTAGAGAAAATAGCATGTAGTAAGCATCCAGCACCAACAGAAGTTTTAAACAGGACAAAATCATGCTTAGAAATACTGGAATGTCTGTGTCTGTGAAAAGGTTGAATAATTCAGACTCCTAAACAGACAACAGTGTTATAATGGCTACAGAATTAGCAATGGCATGGATTAAAAAATGCATAAGCTTTATTTGACTCATGTCATTATTTCTCATAAGAACAAGGAAACATCTATGATATTATCCTAAAGTTTTTTAAGCCAATAAAAAGGAAATGCTTTTCAGAATGTACAGGATTACATCATACTTGCATACATTATGCAGGATACAGAAGTGACCAGAAAAAAAATAGAAAAATGTTTTAAAAAATAATGATGGAAGCAAAGTCTAGCACAGGTAATTCAACATAAACAAAGTCTCTATACTCCATCTTAGGAACCACCGAGAGAAAAAAGGTATACATGCTTTATTCTTATATTTCAATGATCTGGTATTGGCTGTTTTAAGAGCCAGGAATTAAATGGATTTCTGGTTTGAACTTTTACTTTGCTGCTTAAATTCCTATGTAAACTCAGTTCCATTCCATTTCTCATTAAAAAAAAAAAGAAAAAAGTGATTTTAGTAAGCAGGTAATTCAGCATTTCATGCAAACAGACACCAAATAGACCCCTAGGAATATCTTCAGCTAATTTTCTTGATTTAATTTCATAAGATTAATATATATTCACCAGTCTCTCTCTACTACATAATCAAATCAGTGAAGCTGAAGTGGTATATATCTAATTCCATATTCTGTAGCTTGATGAAGCAGGTGCTGAATTACTTGAATATAATTTGGTTACTTAATAACCCATGATATCTAAAAGAATTTGAAGTGGATCACTGAATTGAAGTCTAGTATTATATTTCACTTGCTTGATTCTTTGCAGAGACCACTTTTTTCCCAGATCCGTAGCAGTTCTTTTCCTTACATTTAAGCAAAGGATGGGCTGCTAAGTGACAACAATTTCTAAATAGAATTGAGCAACATTTTTTAATGTCTTGACACACTTTTGTGCAGTTTGGTTGATATTTATGGAATTCACAACATCCTGTATCTTAATTAGCCCATAAAGTGGGCTGCAAATGTAATATTACCATGTTGGGTTTTTTCCCTGAGCATACAGCATGATAGTACACACATTACAGGCTGGTGCCAAAATATAAAACCACAGCAAATCCCACAGCTGCATATAAAATGTGACAGCATTAGTACTGAGAAAAAAATGTCAGAATACTCTTTCCAAACACAAATAACATCTCATTTTCAAAGCTCTGTGTTTTTCTCAGTACATTGCTTGTTACTGATGTCAGCAGGAGGTCTGCAAACAGACTGAGAATATAATAAATGAATCAAAACGTGTTTTAAACTGAGGTTGGGAATAATTTTGCCCAGAGGATTATTTCTACTGACCATCATCTGCCTAGAAACTAATAAAGAAGTCTTCTTCCTATAAACATGATTTACAGCATGACTAGAGTTAAAAAGGAAAAACAGATATTGCTGGGTGATGGAAGCCTTTGCTAAATAACAGTACACTGATGCTATAGGACTTCTTTTATAATAACTTAAAGGTTCACTTTAAAAGCACCTTGATGTTTGACTTCTGCAAACAACCATAATAACTTTTTTCCATTGCCTATTATTATTCTGTACTTACCACACCAGCCATGAATTTCACTGAGGAAGAACAAAATTGTTCGCAGAGAATAACCTGCCCTTGCAAATGGATTTGCCCTCATCAAGGTTAGATATGAATGAACTCAGAAGAGTGAACAAAAAGGCTACACTTTCTGTTGTAACAGTGAAATACTGAGATAATCTATTAATTAATCACCTCACTTATAGACATTATTTTCTCCCTTTACATAAGAAAATAAATTTATTCCCTTGAAACACTGTCTTAACTATAAAAAAATCAGTACTTAACAGACATAAATTCTTTGAGGAATGTGTTCCCTTTCCATCACAGAGATGCCAGCAATTAAATAGTTGGGGGCAATGTCAACATTATGACCTATTTGTTGTTCTTGCTGGGGCAAAAACAGCCATTACATTGAATTGAATCAATATTACTGCGCCTCAGCTGAGCTGTTTAAACTATTTTTAAATCTTTGAATATTAAGTTGAACAACTAAGAAGTCACTTCATTAACACAGCAATTTTATCTGCAAGGTAAGTTCTGAATTAATAATACTGTTTTGACACTGTTACTGTGCTAAAAGCATATTTCCTCAGTGTCTGCTTGTTGTGAGTATGTTAGTAGTATGGAAACTGATTAGTTTTGGCACTGCATAAGGAAAAGATAAGCCTAAGACTGATAGTGCTATCTGCTGTGCTACTTACAATAATCTTGCTCATTTTGTCCTAATAGACTTGGATAAACCACCTTTATTAGTATGAAGTCTTACAATAATATCACATCCTCTGGTTCTAAAATACATCATGAAAGTGGGAAAAGTAGTATTCAGACTGTAGTGAGTCTGTATATATGCAGCATACACTGGAGCACGTCAAAATTTCTATGGAAATGACAGGTATTCATTTGGATCTCAAGAAAAGGAAAGTCCAGATAATGGTGTGATCCTATGTGCTGGTTTTGGCTGGGGTAGAGTTAATTCTCTTCACCTTGGCTGGCACTAGACTGTGTTTTGGACTTGTGCTGAACACAGCATTGATAAAATAGAGATGTTTTTGTTACTGCTGAGCAGTGTTTACAGAGACTCAAGGCCTTTTCTGTTTTTTGCACTGCTACTGCTACTGGCAAGGAGACTGGGGATGCCTGAGATGTTGGAAGGATGTGCAGCCAGGACAGGTCCCCCCTACTGACCAAAGGTATATTCCAGACCATATAACATCACTCTCAGTGTGTAAAGTTGGGAAAAGTAGGAAGAAGGGAAGGTTTGGAATGATGATGTTTGAGTTTCCAAGTCACCATTGCATGTGATGGGGCCCTGCTCTCCCTGAGATGGCAGAGGGAAGAAGTGAATTAATTCCTTGTTTGGCTTAACTTGTGTGCGTGGCTTTTGCTTCTACTATTAAACTGTCTTTATCTCAATCCATAATTTTTCTGTCTTTTACCCTTCCAAGTCTCTCCCAGATTCTGCTGGTGGGGGAGTGGACAAGCAGTTGTACGGAGCTGGGCTGCTGGCTGGTGTGAAACCACCACACCCTGACAAGGGTATTTTCCACTTCCCCAGAAAATGTAAAATCTACCCAAACAGCTAAATTCAAGTACTGTAGCTCCTAGTCATGAGTTCACTTTGGTTTAGGAACATTCCCTACAGATTTTCCCTTGCTTCTTCTTTACTTATGCCTTCTTTATTTTTTTGCACCTTAAACAGCCAAGATTCCAAATTCTGTAACAACTCTGAAACAATGAAGAACACCACTAAATATACTCTGAGAAACAGCACTGCAGAATCAAAAAATCCAACCCTTTAAAACTTTTGAAAAAACTAGACTTACTAATCTGTCAGTTTTCTATTTGGAAGTAATAACCATAGAATCATAGAACTAAAGACCACTTAGACTGACAAAGACCTCTAAGACCATTTACTCCAACCATTAAGTCACGATTCACCACTAAACCATATTTACATGCACTTTGAACAATTCTAGACATGTAATAAGACAAGAGACAGAACAAAAATGCAAGGATGTGACTACAGCTGTATCATAGCCTGCAATTCATATTACCACTGCCAGTAACAAGCTGTAGACCTTGTATTGGCTCTGCAAGGCCTCAAGATCAATTTCTCAGGATTTGTCTGAACTTACCTCTCCTGCCTGGAGTTTTAATTCAGCTTATTTAGATGCAAAAAATTTTCTAATCATCAGGTGACTATTGACTAATTTGTTACAGTTTTGCTTATACCTGCATAGGTATAAGCAAAACTGTATATTTGCACTTATATTTGCTTGTATTTGCATAGCTTTGTGGTATAATCAGAGTTTTTGGATAGACATTAAAAAGTAAATATTCTGTATAGGAT